ACCCATGAGAGTCAAAAGACCTTCCCCTCGTCGTCCACCCCCCGATGTATCGAGGAAAGCTGTTCCCAGAGAGGGAAACATGGGGATGATCGAATGTGCAATCTGCTAAGTTCATGTGATCTTCACCGCTCGTGTGGGACGTTTCTCGATCAGATCGACGAGGACTCCACCTTACGCCTGTGCTCGACGTGTACATCGACTGGCAAAAGGAGAAGAGACGGAAGCGCCCCTGATTTATTTCTCACTCCCTTCTTTGCTTCGCGTTGTTGATAGGTGTCACATTTGTTTTTGTAGGTCACCAGGTATTTGATGGCAACCCTTGCGGGTCTCTTTTCTGCATCTATTCGTTTTCCCGATGCCTTCGCTCTCGTTGATGTTTGCCTTTCGCCCTTTCCGTCGTCAAGCACGACTATTGTCTTCGTTTGTTTCATCGTTGTCGCACGTTATTTCGCTCCAGCCCTTGCCAGTCTCTCTCCTACTTTTATGTTGATTCCTGGGTCCCTTCTCTCTCTCAGAGAGACTCATGTTTTGCCTTCGGCCCTTCTTTTCGTCTTGAACCATGACCTTGCATCCCCTTCCGTTCTTGGTCCTGGGTCCCTTCTCTGTCGTTCGTTTCCGTCTTGAAGCATGATGAGTACGCTGCGCTTCGTTGAAATTCGAATTTCCTTTTTTGTGTCGCAAGATTGCCCTTTGCGGTCCTCTTGTGTATTGTTCGTTTGCCTGAAGCAGGGACAACCCAGGGTCGTTTTTTTTCTGTGCGTCTCAAGTTGTGTCTCCAGTATTTGTTCCGCCCGTGCCCAATTCTTCGACACCAAGGTACCCACGTTCTTTATTGGGGAAAAATTGGGCGGGGGGGGGATGGCGGTAGTCGAATTACTATACTTCCTCTGTATCATAAGTTAGGGTACCTAAATTTGTACGGGCCCTTAACCATGTCCGATCTGTTTTTCGATTTTTTTCTTCGGAGTTTTTTTAGCAAGAAACATTTATTTTTATTTTTATGCATGCGCCACCCCGCGTGCATGAGCGCCCGAGAAAAAAACAGTCGGCCTGAAAAAGGCCGTATTTTGCATGTATCCTGCCCCTTCCGACCAGGCGGGGGGGGCGGGGCAATGACAACAACAAGGCAAAAATACCAAGAATTATCCCTGACCCTAAACCTAGCCCCCCCTCTACTCAACGATCCATGACGCGTACCCCATACTAAAAACAGCATAATAGTGCCCCCCACACTGAAAACAAGACACTTGGAGGGTGAATGACGGATTCTGACACCTGCCGGAGGGTGAATGACCGATTCTGGCTGTTGACTTTCTTGAGNACCCCATACTAAAAACAGCATAATAGTGCCCCCCACACTGAAAACAAGACACTTGGAGGGTGAATGACGGATTCTGACACCTGCCGGAGGGTGAATGACCGATTCTGGCTGTTGACTTTCTTGAGCGCCGCAATCTTTGAAGGGGTGAGAAGCGACGGCCGCCCACTTCGCTTCTCGTTTGAAAGGTCCAGCTCCTGGGTGTTGTCGATCTGGGTTTTGACCCGTTTCCACAACTTGGACGGGTACTTCTTTCCAACACCGTAGCGTTCGCAGATCGGGTCAAGCACGCCCTTGGGAATCCTTGACAACCCCGGCTGAATGCCCATCGCAATTTCTACCGCCATGGCATAGCGCCTACCAACGGATAATTCGGTGCCCCTTTTGCGAGGTGGTGTGCTGGGGGGCGATTCCATCGCTAGAGTGAGTAGTGGGCCGGTAGGGTACTAATATTAGATGGTTTTGAGAATTTTGTCGAGAATTCTCAAAAAAATATATATATATTTTCTCAAAAATATTCCCAAAAACAGGCCAAAATAGGGTATATTTTGACCAATATTAGGTACAGAAATAGATGTTCGTTTTTTCTATATTTTTTCCTATCGCTTCTTCTTTGTTATATCTTTCTTACAAACCCGACTATGCTACCNATATATATATTTTCTCAAAAATATTCCCAAAAACAGGCCAAAATAGGGTATATTTTGACCAATATTAGGTACAGAAATAGATGTTCGTTTTTTCTATATTTTTTCCTATCGCTTCTTCTTTGTTATATCTTTCTTACAAACCCGACTATGCTACCATCACTAACACGGTTGCACCCAGACAATCTATTGCATTTAGGTACCCCAACTTATGATACAGAGGAAGTATTAAAAGCATAGGGGGCCCGCGGGTGAGTCAGAATTCGTTGTTGCAACCCCTCAAGTCATGGATTAAACGGCTCCGTAGCACATGAAGAGAGCACCTAGTTCACCCGCTCAAAGTATGCTTAAAACGTCTTCCCTAGTAGCACACGATGTGTCCCCCATCAGCGGCTTGCGTGAAGTGCGCTATAAGCCTCAAGATAGGCGAAAAACCGATCACACATTTTCGGCCCTCCCAAGAAGGGTGAGAGTACCCACCTAGCTGTGCGGGATGACTTTTTACGTGCACCAACGTGCCATGTCTGTTTTGTCTTTCGGGAGGGGAGGGCACGGTTATATTCTCGTTGAGAGGGATTCATAGGCAGGTAGGTATGGTGTGCTATCCCTGGTAGATCGGCACCGAGTGTCCACCATATTACTAGGATGCTCGCTGCCAGCACTTCGGAATATTGCTTCTGGATTTGGAGTGCGTTCTTCAATAGTGATGAATATCAATGATATTCTAACGTCACTCTTGACGAAGCCCGACTCGCTCCGTGCGTGAGTATTCCTCTTCCTCGAGGGTTCCTTCGTCACGAGCACAACGGCGACCGCTACATACCTCATTGGCGGAGAGAGCATACATACATACGCACGGCACACCTACCACGGCACACACACGTCTTCCTTGGGTGTGGTACGTCCTTCCGTCTGCTATCGAAGAATGCGATGACCCAACATCTCGCCTCTCATGATAGTATCGCATGTACGTCAATGACGGCGGCGGCGTCTCGGTGAAATATGCTAGCTCTTGGCTTCTAAGCCCCAAAAAACAATACTCGAAACACCCATATATATGGTTTTAATTTTACACATCCCGATAACATTATTAGTGGACCGAAAACCGAGGAACGCCCAAGCGAAGCATAGTACCATTCCAACCCATTAGATGAGCCCGCATACTGGTCGTCACGCCAATATAAACAATGCAAGTTGTCAAATGAAACCAAAGGTCCCGCGTTAGTCCAAAATAAAACCAAAACCAATGGGTGGGAGAGGGCAACAACGAATAAATGCTGCCAAGAGCACGCGATGAGGGTCCAACGATGACCAACGGCGGTAGAAACATGTCGCGGCGTCACTCGTTGGCGGCACCAAACCGTACAACAACGTGGACAACACACGCCCGACGAAGGGCAAGGCTCGACCAGCCTCATCTCGACCTTGCACACAACCGCATGAATGGCGATACGACAGTGCTAGGGTTCACCACGAAACGCAAAACCATCAAACAAGGCTGCATTCAGCGGAACCTCTCCCTAGTAAGACTGCAGGCCGAGAAGCGGCGGGAAAAGGCTCGCAACCACACCTATCGAAAAAAAATGAACAGTCACACAGCCTCAACTAGTTGTACGGGGAACACTGTCGGAACATTCTACTTGTTCCATCGTCGCCGCTCTCTCCAAATTCCACACACGTGCAAGCAGTGATACGCTAATTTCATCACCCACGCCCCAACCCAACTCCCATCAACATCCGCGGTGGTCTTCTGCTGAATTTGTACGTTTGACTGCTCTTGTACTTGCGGTGTGTTCGAAACCCGTAAAGCGTCGGTTCCATTGTTCTTCGCAACATGTCACTCCGTACGACCGAGCGCACGCATTCATCCCATGCACCCAACAAGACACGGAAGAACAAACGTATTCGCAGCAAAGAGAGACACGTGAGGTTGAGAAAACTTCCTCCTGTATGCATACATACATGCGGCAGAAAGTCGCACCCGGGAGGGAGCGGGGCCAAGCTTTTACTCGCAATTACCATCGCACCTGCTCACAATAAACCGTGAGCACATGGCTGCCAAGAGGGGTATCAAATTCTGACACGCCGTGAAGGAATCAGGTGGATGCGTCTTCACCCACACACGAACCACGCACACACTCCTCGCCCTTTCCCCTCTCAGACACATTTTGTGGTAGTTCAAAGTAGTTTCTTCCAGATTGGCTGTGAAGCCTGGTCGACCTGCTTCATCACTCTGGCAAAGTGAAGGTAACACGAAAGGCTTCGATGATATTGCTCCGCGTGAACAATTGTTGATCAATGTCAAACACGGGCAGGTGGCCCAGAAAAAGGGCAACAAACTAGAACCAAAGCTTGGGCCACGACGTCAACGAAGGGGTATACGTCTAACCCTCCCCCCCGCCCTATCTTCCGCTCGTCCGTTCGCCTTTTACATGTACCACATCATTGCCATTGGAGGCGGCTCCCTGCCTTCCTTGAGACACTGAAGCATTTCCACGATGGACGCCATGCTGGGGCGTAGGTGACGGGGCTGGCAGAGGCACGCCTGCACCCAACCGCACACCTTTCATGTATTAGCAGCACCAGCGGCGAAATCAGCAGCGGCAAAGGCGGAGGTTAGATGAAGCCACGCACGGTACGGGACATGAAAGGGGGTAGGGAATGGTGATGAGCTTTCTTCCTTGTCGAGGGGTGTCTTGTTCGGAAGGACCCTCAGCATCATACAGAAATGAATACACAAGTACACCTGACCAAACAACCCTTCACCCACGAGAGTCGTCTTCTTAAGTAGCCACCCTCACAAAATGATGCTCTAACACTATAATGACTTGTGGAGTTTCCGATCCTGCGACAGTTTCTTTCGTATTCAATATTGCCACCCTCACAGTATAGCGGTACGGCACCGACGCCGCGAGGTTCTCCGGCTGCACGATCTCCCTCCCAAATGATCCGTCAAGAAGAGTCCTCACCATCACTTCGAACTGTCGTTCAAATTTAGGGGGTGATCGATCCATCGATTTGTTGTGCACGAGGGGAAAGTTGTCTCATCGTTCGAAACTTGTTGGAAAGTTGCTCCAAAACGACGCACACACCATGCACGCCTGGGTCGCAATCACACTTGAGCATAGGACGAGAAACACGACCTTAACCGATTTTAGAGCACGAGCGGCTAGCCAGCATTCCGACCAGCAACACGGAATCTTCGCAGGCAGGGAGTGGGACCCAATGTGAGTGTATTTATTACATGTACCCACCATCCGTGTGCAACCGAGAGACGAGTGCAAAATACTAATCAACACCGCCACCACGACAAGCATCAGCAGGCAACAAGCGCGCAGCACCTGCGGGACGACCGATGTAGTCTGAATTCGAGTGGGGTCGGGACCCTGCCTAAACCTATATCCTACCATCGGTATTGCCGGTGTCATTGTTGTTTACAACTGAAAATCGCCCTGACCCTCTCTCTGCCCAGTACCTCTTCTTCCCTACCAATCAAGGTGCACGGAAATACAGTAATACTCATTCTGGCGGCATGTATATTTGGTCCAGGTTTTAACGGATTGTAGTGCTGCAACAATGTACCTCTGCGCTATCGACAACACTGCTGTTGAAGTACCGGCGATAAATACGTCAACCACATCCAGTTTGGGGTTTACACATGGGGTGTGGGTGACTGTTTGTTCTGCAGTGCCTGCACGTAGCGGACATGGTTCCGACTTCCAATACCTGTAGGCCGAGGACGGCCTGATCGTTATCTTGGCCGAGATCCGCGAACTCCGCCCTTTCGTCGTCGGAGAGCAAGAACTGGGTAGAGGTAGGGCATCAGAACGGTCATTGCGTGAATTGTGAATCATAGGGCGGCGGGCAATGGAGACGGCGTGGGGGTGGAAACATATACGCAACAAGCGAGAGAAACGCTGAACAATAGAGTCACCCGTCCATCCAGGTGGATCGGGATGACGGCTGTACGTTGTACAACAGCTTTTACCGTCCAATGCCATATTCAACTCATGCAAAATTCTCATCGGTCGCAAAAGACATCAAATAGGGCGTGATGCAGGTATCACAGCCGTGAGGAATGGCAGTAGATCTGCCGACTATGCCATGGGGGATGAACCACAGCGATCTACGATTGGCAATGAACCGCAATCTCCACACCGCCGCTCAAACTCCCCTACCGACTCCCTTCTCATGCTACTCACCCTGTGGACAAACATGTTGTTCTCCCAAAGGTCGGGTTGGATGAAGGCCTCCAGCAAAAGCACTCCGAACGAGAAAACGTCGTTCTCCGGCCCGGCCTCCACGCCACTCCACACGAGTTCGGGGGGGATGTAGCCCGGCGTCCCCGTCCTCGGTGGCGTCCTTTCCCCTTGCGCTGCAAGACAGAGATTGCGCAGTTATCAACTATCAAAAAATTGTGTGTCAGTCGCGAATCTTGGGAGCATTTTCAGGCGTCGGAAAAGCGTATCTGCTCTCCGGTGTGCCTCGTTGCTTTCCTGGGCGTGACTATCCCTGTGTAGTCTCTCGGTGTGTAGCTTTTCTACTGTGGCGATGAATATCGATCGTTCGTACTGACGGGCATCGTGGGTGCTCCGGCTCTTGGGCCAGATAAGACCATTGACCATTGACCATTGCTAGGAAAACCGAGGGTGTCGTACCTAGGCCAGCTCAGACGAGGGAACCGTGCCACTCGCTACCGGGTAGCGGGTATATATGTACCTCAGGTGGAAACTAGCAAAACTGGGAATACCGCATAGCTAGCGTGCGCTCAAGATCACAAGCAACTTTGGTTGCTCCTGCACGGGGCGTTGGAGGGGTAGGAACAAGGCCTGGGACCACTCTAGCCACGGAGACCACAGCCCGGTTCTTGAAGGGCTTCCTGAGTCGCCTGGGCAGCGATTGCGCGTGGTTGACGAGGTACATGTTGCTGCTGCTGCTGCTGCCAGACCTTGAACGCGTAGTTGTTTCGAGTGGTGCAGTCTACTGGTGAGCAGTAACACTCACCGCACGTGAGACCGAAGTCTGCCACCTTCCCAGTGGCGTCGCCATCCTCGTTCACCATGACAAGGATGTTGGCGGCCTTGATGTCGCGGTGGACCATGCCCTTGTCGTGGATGTGCTGCAAGCCGCAGGCCGCGTCGTAGATGATGCTGCACAAAACGAATTAGAAGAGAGGCTTAAAAACATCGAGGGAGTCTATCATCTCTGCTGACCGCCATTCATCAGTTTCACCGTGGCAGCATGCACAGCCGCACCTTCGTGTACCGCGTGTTCGAAATCATGTCTAGGGTACACAAAATCATGGTCGAGAGCACCCACTGATGCGCGTCGTGGTGTTTCTCTATACACTTACCTTGCAAATCATCGGCTACCAATAGCCATGCAAAAAAAATAATAATGATAACAACAACAAAAACAACAATGTCGTGCTCCTGTTGACCCTGAACAAAAGAGAGCACCCCATCTCCACAAGCATCCAATGGCAAGCACAATTGAGATGAACCTCCGATGGCACCAATCCTGCACTCACCCAATCTTGTTCGGTAGCGAGACGTTGACACTCTCGAGCACGTCAACCAAGTCACAGTAGCCAAGTTCCATCAGGATCGGCATAGCCGGCAGAGCGCTGTTCAGGGCGAAAACCTTCGGGATATTCGGGTGCATCCCCAGGCTTGGTTCGCATTTCGACAGCAAGAGACGTCGTGCACGAAGGGGTAAAGACAGGGAGCGACAGACCCAGTGCGCGGAAGTTCGGTCAAGGGGAGGCGGAGGGCGCGTCGGAGGAGGGGGCGTCAAGGTTGAGAACGATGAATTACACGGGGAGGTACAGTGGGCGTCACAGCAGGAGGAGCATACTCAGTTAAGTTTTCTGCACACCAACACCGTTCATAACCAACGCACATCTTCGTGTCAAAGGGAAACAACCCCGAGAGAGAAAGCTGTCGCGGTGTATTCAGGAATCTACGGAGTATGTTCTTAATTTAGCCCTCCTCTTCTCGGCGTGAAGCACATTCGGGGGCTAACACATCGGGATCAGCAAGACGCTGCTTCCAATGATACATTGATGTACGGGTGACCATAACGTTGGCTCTTTCGGGGAAACAAAACGAGGACTTGTTCAAGTGAACTCCAGCGACACACCACAAGAAAGCATCCATTTCATTCCCCGCGGCGGATCGGTGCTCGTCTCCGGCCTCCTGAGGTTTGGGAGCGAACGTGGTGACAATGGGGAGGCGGAGGGACGGTGAGAAAGGGGGGCATATGCAAAGGCGTGTGGACTTCACCCTTAGCACTCCCAAGCCCCGGCAAGGGATGAACTTCGCTGTGCTGCGACATGAAATACGTTTACCCTACCAAGTCTAGCGGCGACAGACGAAATCGTGGAAGACGAAAGAAGCAAGACGTAGACACTACTCAATCCCTCTAATCCATCCACCAACCATACGGCTTTACCTCCGATAGCTCCTTGAGTGCCAACTGCTCTCCCAAAGACGCGTGGTACACGCGGCTCACGCGGCCGTAGTAGCCGGTGCCGATAACCCTCTCCCTGGTCAGGTCGCCGTTCGAGTCAGACGCCGACAGGTCGAGGTCGCAGTGGCTCGCGACGTAGATGTCGCGGACGGCCGTGAACATCCGCGGTGCGTTGGAGAAAATCTCGAAAAGCCGGTCCATCCTGGTCGGGGCAAAGTGGGGCTCTGGCTCGTTCACGTTCTCGAGCTCCGGTATGGAGCCGTGGGACGAAGGGGGAATGTGGTCCCCAACGTTGCCGTCCCCCTCCTCCTCCCCCCCGTCATTGTGTTCCTCCTCCCCCACCTCCTTCTCCCCCACCTCCTGCTCCTCCTCGTGACCCTCCATTGGCCCAAACCCATCCGCGGTGATGGTAGAGAGTGATGACCCCCCTCCGCTTCCACCGGTAGAGGCTCCCCGGGCGGCTTGACCGTCACCCGACCCAGAGTACCGCTCAAGGTCTCCGTTCGCCGCGGATCTCTCCGGTCCCCCCTCTCTCTCACCCGTCCTGATGCGTGCCCTATGGAGGGCGTCCTCGAGGACATCGTGATAGACAGAATGGCCGTCCAACTCGTCATCGTTGCCGTCGCCGTTGCCGTCACAATCACCGTTGCTCTCGCGGTGTTCGCTGTAAACGCTGTTGTTCCTGCTGCTCTTGCCGCTGCTGCCGCCGTGGTGCCAAACGTCGAATTCCGACCGCGTGGAGCGCCTCAGCGACTCCTTGCTCATTGCCATCGCTAATGATTTTGCCCCTGTCGATGCCTCCTCTGGCCGGTTCCTTGACACACTCCGGTCGGAGGGTATATAACCCACCTCCGCTACCGCGGCCGCCATCTCCGCCCATCCCAGAGTTCCGCTGTCGGTGTCGTCCGGGTTATGGTGAGTTCGGGCTGTCATCCACGTGCTGCAGTTCGACATTTCGGATTCCTTAAGGCAAACCGGCGGAGCGGCGGGGTCCAAGACGGGGGGGGGAGCGAAGGTGAAGTAGAATATTGCAATAAAAATACGACGGAAGCGAAGGGCACTAACCGGGCACGTACTGCATGACTACCCACGATTCGGGTCAATCGTGGACGCCTTGTGATGCTGCTTGCACTGCGAGCTGCTCAATCATCGGCTAGGTTGTACCGCGGTCTTGGCCATGGTTGCAGGTAAATGCAAAATCTTGTGTGGCGACGACGAACGGGGTATGCTGCCACCAACCGACGCTGAGTGCTCTCGACACTACTGTACATCAAACACGCGGAACGCAGAAAAAAACGCTATCCACGCGAAAAGCAGAAAAAAACGGTACACAAAGCCCACCGATTCGTTCTCCTCCCCACCCAGCGAAGATTTGCCGGCGGTGGACCCAGCAACCCCCCTTGACCGGACGCCCCAGCTCCCGGAGTCGACGTCCGACCTCCTAGAATCGACGTCATCGCCACTCGCCGATAGGAAGTCAGCGGCGCCTGCTAGCTCGATGTCGGAGCCCGCAGGGTTGACGCTATCGTCGTCGCCCCCGGCTTCAAGGTCGGAGCCCTCATCGTCGAAGCGGGCATCGGCGGTGTTCCTGCGGTCTTGTTCCTTCCATTGCTGTACCTTCCCCGAAACCCACCTGCAGAAGACTACCGCCGCGGCGAGGACAACAGCCAAGGTGACCAGCTCCTGTCGGGAAATCAGCAAATCACCATCGTGTTTATGGACGGCGGGACCAGCCATGGAAATAACCGTTATACTCGTGTGCGTAAGCACGGCTGCAAGCCTTAGGCGGCACTACAGCAACAGCAGTGTGCAACACGTATCTTTGTTTTGGTCGACACCGACTTTCTCTACATCCCCAAGTTCAAGCAAAGTGTGTCCCAGACCTCTCGCTGACCTGTGTTCGTGATCCCGCCATGTCCGCCGATCTAGTCTGGCGAGACCTACACAGAGGACCCACGGGCACGACGTGCGTGCAGTACAGAAGCAACGGTAAGAGCACTGGACGTTGCGTTGGCGATAACACTTCTGGTGGTAGAAGGTTGTGTTGATGCAATGCAAACGGCTCACCCGCGGAAAAAAACCAACAGGCTGTTTGATGGCGTACCTTTAGCACGGCTGCTGTATATTCATCACATGCTGCTGTGGCTCGCCGAGGTTAACTACTGAAACTGTGCTGCTCACCGGACCCCTCCCGCGTCTGGTCTCTGCTGCGAACGCCGTAGCGAACGTGTCGATTGCTGAGCAGTGACCGGAACAGAGGACAGGGAAATCCACGCCGGCGCGAACCCGCAAGGTTATAATTTCATCATGATGAGAAGACAGCCGGACAGGGCGCGACACAGGCATCACCTGGCGATGAATCATCTTATGTCTCAGGGTGCGTTACCAGCCACCAAATACTGAGTGACCCCCATGTCTCCATAGCACACTCCCTGTCTCCCTGGCCATCCCTCGCTGTCTCTCGTTGCCTTCTTTGGGCAACACACCTCCACTCCTGATGACACGAACACCTGTGCATCCTTGACATTGGACATCCACATGCATACATGCGGCGCAACCTCGAAAACGCGGCATAACTTATTACCGGGCAATCTCCGATCTGGGATCCGGAGATCCAGATGAAGCATGTGTGTATGTGAGTGAATCACCTTGTGTGCGCGCCTGCTGATTCCCACGGGCATCGTTCGCTACTGTGTATTCTTATGGCCTCTTTCGGATGTTCCTTTCACACACGTCTGTGATTCAAACAAACTTGGTGTTGTAGAGACGCCCGGCACGCGGGCTACTGCCACAGCAGTGTTGTCTAAATGGCGAAATTCGACAAAAAAATGTACCGGTTCAATCGCAGTAGACTGCGACGTGTAAAAGATCCCAGAAGTAGACTACTCTAGACGGTAACCTCGCCGAAACAGTTCGCGGCAAATCAGATCAACGTACGGGAAGGAGACCGAGGATCAGTGACTCAAGACGCGCTCCTGATACGTGTTAGAAACTTCTTAAGTCAGAGCGCTTGTCGGTCTCGCGTCTCGCGGGAGTAGCAGTTCGAGCGAGAACTTTGTGGGAATTTCGCCAACGTTTCAACCACGCAAGACTGGCGTAAAACGCTATCAAGCGTCCGCGCGACCATGTGATGGCTCGCGAATGACATTCATCAGCTCGTTTCGGACCCTAACCTCCTACACACGAGGTCGTTTGGCCGACATTTTTTACCGAGTGCCGAAAGGTTTGGTGCCGCAGCAGGAATCAAAGGACGAGACTGTAGTGTTTAATAACATGTGACACCGAGTTCGAGGCTGGTACTTGTATAGTCTACACTTGTCGACCCAATACGTGCCCAGGGCAGGAAGAGGACTAGGGTTGAACATGCCACACCGCGGGTCTGCGGTCGCTCACTAACATTGCACCTCGCTGCTGTGTGTGTCGACTCTTCTACTTCTCAAGCTGCCGAGGGACTGGAGCGGGACACGGCGCAACGCGTTTCACCAAGTGTTGCTACCCGACGACGCGCTGCAACATGATCGTTCACGGGCAAAACATAAAATCCGAGGACACCCTGCATGCCCAGAAAAGGAGTGGCTTTCATGGAACAACAACATGCCGTCAGACGACCTTTGCCTTGGAACGTGTACTTGTGGCCATACTGCTCATGGATGGTGCTACTGCTGCTGTCTCTCGAAGGGAGCATCGTGCGTGCCACTGTAGCACTTTCAGCATTGCTGCGAGCGGGGGAGCTACACTGTCTTCTAATGCGAAGGGACACCAAAAAAGCCAACACAACACAACAAATGTCGATGAGACCCGTATAGTTGGACGCAGAGCCAGACAGCCGACTCCTTTGTGCCCACCTCAGTAGCTCCTTGATCAGTCGCAAGCGAGCCTCTGGCTACTCTGATAATCTCCATGCCAGCCTCTCGAACAATTCACGCTGGAAGCTGATTTCGTGAAGGGAGTGCTGGAAATTGTGGCGAGAGGCAAACGTGAATTTCTCAGCGCGCTCACCCGTTCGTTGGATATTTTGCGGAAACGTTCACATTCGGTAACGACCACGGAAAAGCGCCTCTGAAATCCGGGGATACTCTGAAAGCGACTTTCATTTTAACGCGCACTGCAGTACTCGGTAGTTCTCAAGGTCTGTTACTGACTCTTGTCGGCCGCCCGACCGCCGTTAGTCGTGGGTTAGGGTTGAGTTGGGTCGGCCCTGGTGCGTGATACATTCCGTGTGCGGAGCTACGGTTCGGCGTCCAGTCAGACCCAAAGAGCCACCGACAGACCGAAAAATACCTCCACGTACGTACTTTTAGACCACAGTACAGTGTTTTTAAATCGTTTCTTTTGTTCGTCTACACGCAGGTAGGTACGCCCCCCACCGCGCCGTTTGTCATGTACTGTACCTGCCAACCCCTGTTTTATATCCACGCATCACGGGTACTTTGTACTGTACTGCCAGTTGAAGACCAGCACGCACACAACCAACAAACCGATAGTGTAGACCGAGGCTCTTGGAGATCTCGTGTTTGCGAGTTACAGACTCGCTTCACCAGGCAACGTAGTTTGTTGTGCCATGAAACATTCGGGAGTTCCCGTTCCATTGATTGTTGCTGTTGTGGATGTGTTTTCTGCGCAACACCCTTGCTGCGCTGAAAAGTCCCAAGCCGCATGTGGCGCGGCGGCCAAAAGCTCGTGGCTTGCTTCCGACTATCAGATCATTTTTGATCACCCAAATCTGCGCGCTGTCTTCCAAAAATTTGGCTTCGTCGTCTCCCTGAAGTGCTGAACAGCTGCCCGGTCCAGTGTTGATCTAGCGCTGGAAAAAATATTTCCGGTGAGGCCTCCTACAGTACCCAACACCGAACGGAAACCTTGTTCGATGGGCCTCTCGGGCCCATTTTACTGGTCCCTCTTGCAACAGTTCGTGCCGAAGTTAGGGAAACTTACGCTTCCTTGTCAGCAAAACAGGCACCGAGGAAGGGTCACAACCGCCACAGCTCGCCTCCTGAAGGACAGGAGCATCAGCACAGCGATAGTCTAGTGGTCGTGTGGCAAAATAAATTTTCCTGACTGAGAGGCCACACAAAAGGTTTTGTGTTGGCACTCTAATTCTGTGGGAAATGTTTTGCAAATCATAGCAACACTGGATTGATCGCACACACCGTCATTCCTTTCGTTGTCGCGGGACTGTTCCTTGCGCCATAGCCCCTCCACCGCACCCCCCCCCGACTAACAATATATAACGGCACATGTGATAGTTCGCACAGGTTGCGTTGGTACTCGAATTCAACGGAAAATGTCACTCTAAATTGTCTCAAATACGGGATCACAAAACACTGGCATTCCTTTCATTGGGAGACCCGCCCTTGCGTTAACCCCCCCTGAACAACAATGCACCCCCCGGTGTTTGCCATCGGGGTTGGGTTTTCGTCGCTTGGCAACGACGTTGTAAA